TGTGTACACTTCATTTTGTATACTGTATATCCTGTGGGATGAATGGACAGATGTTGAGGACGAAAAGTTATTTGTATAGTGTTGGATGGGGCTCCAGGAGAGTGGAGAGGATCAAGATGACAGAATCCAACCTTCCATCCATCCAGCCTTGCCATCTTCAGTATCCCCTTTCCCCCCACTTTCCTCAACTTCCTCCCTTTTCTCCTCCCTCAAATCTCCTGAGGTGACCGCGACCTCCCCGACCTAATGACAGCATACTGCGCGCATGTGCAGGGGAGGTGACCCTGAACCTATCCTAAGAGTTGACTCTGCGAGGTGACCTCCCTGCGGAAAGGTGAACCAGGTGAAAGCGAGAACTGCCATAGGTTCCCAGAGATGTGATGAAGCCTGCCATCACCACATGATACATTGAAACGCTGTGATTGGGACGTTTTCAGTAAGGTGTTGGTGTACTGAATTATTACCATGGGGGAGCTCTAAACCCGTAGGAATTATACAGCGCCTGTGGGGGGGGAAGGCATTCAGGTTCAGTTCAGGGAACTGGAGCACAGATCTAATTCCCTAGATAAAAAGCCCCTCATCAGAATCGAGGAACCTCCAAATGTTGCACAACTGTCTCGATTATCGATGTGTATGATACTTTGTAAGAGAGATAAGGGAGAGAGGTTCTGTGGGTGGTGTGTGGGGGGGGGGGTGAGGGGTTATTACCCATTTTTAATGATCTAGATATAGTGATAGGTACTAGTTGCGTTCCCGTGGATCGACTCGGGTCCTGCCTCCATTTCTTATCCACTTCTCGACTGCCTTTGTTGGCTCCGGGTTAAAATTAGGTCCTGTGTTATTTACTCCGGAAACTGTACGGAGTTTGTGTCCACCGTTACCTCTTCCAACTCACTCCATCGCTATAATACCATTTTAGGTTGAAGTATTTCCTAATGTTGTATCTCGTATGGGTTCTCAGCGTCATTGTTGGCATCATTGTTTGTTCCTCAAACCTTCTCGCCTCATCTGCCCTATCAGTGTCTCGTAATATTTTTACAGGCCGCCATCATCTCTCTCCTGGTTTTTCGTTCTTGTCAGGTTAAATAGTTGTTTTTATTCTTTCCTCATTGTGTTGCGAACCACTGGACCATTTTGTTTGCACATGCTTCACCAGCTGTTGGTTCCACGCTGGCGCTGCACACCCAAAGATTTATTTGGCATTTGTCGTGTGCTATGAAAGATTTTTAAGTTTGTGACGTCAGTATTAATTAGTAATGTCATGACTGAGGTGTGATATTCACCTCTGGATCCGTCAGTTTCGTTATGTTTGGACACACGCTCTCTCCCCGTGTTCTTACCGTGCAATTGCTGCAACTAAGCTCGAGTAGGCACTCTTACATATTGTCTTCCTGTACGTATTCGATCCCTGTCATCCAGCGAGCATAGTCTAGTTTAAAGTCACCCGCAAATATTTGTTAGGCATGACTGTTCCCTCTGGCAGACTGTTTACATATATGGTAGTAGTAGTAGTAGACGTTCCTCAGTGCAGATTCTTGGGAACCCTGCTCGTCCCTCTGCCTTTTACTCCGTAAGTATTCCTTGAGCCACTTCAGCCCTTTCTCCTGACATCCCTGTCAGTTCCTAGTTTATGGAACATTATTATGTTCCTTGGGATCATACAGCGCCCGTGGATTGATATTCGATCAAATTTTGTTCTATTTAGATATATATATTGTCTAGACGAGCCGGCCTCAGAGAGTAGATATACTCTCGAAATTCTTCAAAGGTATATCAAAGGTATAGACTCGGTATATACACTCTGAGCAGCTCTCTGCTGTTTTGCATGGCTGATTCGCTACAGTCATTCAGGATAGGCAGAACCTTGTTGTTCACTTGGGTGGCTTAGTGTTCTATCTGTTATATACAGTTTTAACGAGTTTCTGGAACATTGTGAAGTGTGACAGTGTCACGGACTTCCTTCAGTCCGCCGCCCATCCTCTCTTGTTCATTTTTCAAGAATGCATTTCCATTTCCTAACATTGTTAAAGTAACAATGGGATGCGACATGCCCGTCTTCGGTAGATTTAGCCTCCTGGTTCACGGATGTATTGGCACAGAGGAGGGGTGAGGAGGAGTGCAGAAGGGAAGAGAAGGTAAGGAGTGTCGAAGGTGGTGGTAACAGGATCCTGGATCATATAAATACTCGTGCACAACACTTTTAAAGCAGGTTCTTGGAAGTTTGGAAGTTTACAACAGGATTTCATTAACGTGTATTGTAGCTAATTGTTTTATTTGTTAGTGCTAGTGTATTAATTAGTGCTATTGTAGCTAATGCATTATACATTAGTGTTAATGTATTGTTGATTAAATCTATTGTAATATTAGTCGTCGTGTAGGTAGTGTTATACATGAGTGCTAATGTAATAATGGTAAACATGCTTGGTTTGTGATGTCAGCACGTTATTCATGGGGAAACGCCAAGCCCATACGAATCTCTCAGCACCTGGGGAATGGGAGGTACAATCACATGATCCGAGAAAATGGAGGGCAACTCTTAATACCCTAGATCCAAAGCCCTTCACTAGCCTCAATACTTAGAAGACATAAGTGAGGGAGTTAAAGCAGTGGAAGAGTGAAGATTCTTGAGTGAAGTCTTAGCTGTCTCATCTTGGTGAGTCTTGGCTTCAGGTGAAGGTTAAGTATCTTGGGAAGGTCACAGTAATACCTAGTGCTCACGCCATCCCTCCTTCACAAGCATGTTGTTTGATTTTTAACCAGAATTCACAGACTTGGTTTATAAGGCAGGGATCGCTTTGTCAGACAGGGAACGTTGTATTTATTTCTGTTGTAATACTGTTATTCTTTTAAGTACCAAGAACTATTGTACATTGATCCAGGAAGGTACTACTACCCTGGTATGTGTGTGTGTGTGTATACTCGCCTATTTGTGGTTGCAGGGGTCGATTCACAGCTCCTGGCCCCGCCTCTTCGCTGGTCGCTGCTAGGTCCACACTCCCTGCTCCATGAGCTTTGTCGTATCTCTTCTTAAAGCTGTGTACGGATCCTGCCTTCACTACATCACTCTTCCTGTCAGGTGTTCTCTGATTCATTACAGTGCCTTTTCTGTTATTCCTGCCCGCTCTTCTAGCTTTTGCACTAATCTCTTGTGTGGAACTGTCGAAAGTCTTCTTACAGTCCAAGAAAACTCAATCTACCTTCCTCCTCTCTCTTGTCTTACTTCTGTCATCTTGTCGTAGAACTCCAGTAAGTTTGTGACACAGGATTTCCTTTTCCTGAAACCATGCTGGTTATCGCTTATAAGCTCATTCCTTTCTAGGTTCTCCACCACTCTCCTGATAATCTTCTCCATGACTTTGCACGTACATGTCGGTGGCACTGGTCTGTAGTTTAACGCTGTCAGTCTGTCTCTTAAATATTGGGACTACATTTGCTGTCTTCCACCTCCCTCCCCCCTCTCTCTCTTTCTTCTCTTTATTTGTGTGTGTGTGTGGGGGGGGAGGGGGGGAGAGAAACTGAAGCCTGTTATGTGTTGCTCTCTTGCAGGATTACAAGATGACAGGTAAATTGTACGAATTTTTACTTTCAGTGTAAACACAACTTTCCCGTCTCTTAAAAGTTCTTATTCCTGTAATATTTCCTTACCCGTTTAGGAGACTTGGTCCGAGACCGGGCCGCGGGGGGCCATGATCTCCGAACCATTAATACATAGTTGATACTAAGTTTGGACCCGACTCCTACTAGGTCGGTTGGGTAGGATTGATATATATTATGTCAGTAATATCAAAAGGCTTACATGCACCATTAAAAAAGGTCTACCGTGTTAATTTAGAGACGCGCGCGTTTGCAACAAAACTAGACCCGGTGCTAAGGGGTATGTCTTGTGAGGAGAGGTTAAGGAAACTCGACCTGATGATGCTGGAGGACAGGTGAGATAGGGAAGACATTATAACAACGTATACAATACTGAGAGGAATTGACAAGGTGAACAGGGCGGAATATTTCAGAGATGAGAAACAGGAACCTGAGGACACAACTGGAAGCTGAAAACTCAGATGAGTCAGAGGGATATTAGGAAGTATTTCTTCAGCCTTAGAGTTGTCAGGAAGTGGAACACACTGGAGAGTGTAGTAGTAGAAGTGGGATTTATACATAGCTCTAAGAAGAGGTACGACAAGGCTCTTATAGCCGGGAGAGAGTGGACCTAGTAGCGGCTAGCGAAGAGGCGGGGGTCAGGAACTGTGACTCGACCCCTGCAACCCCAAATAGGTGAGTACACACACGAAACTAGCAGTGTCAAGGACACAGGTTGTGGGAAGTAGAGTGGGGGGGGGGACCCGTGAGAAGAACTAACTCCAACAAGACCGCTGACACTATCCCACCTGCGTCATACCTGTTTATTTCTCACACATCAGTTTTACAAGCTAAGAGCTGTTTTCCTACCTCAGCTCATTTCAAAGCTCAGCCCTATCTAAGGTATGCTTACCCCCCTCCCTTCCCCCCGCCGGATGCGACCCACAACAGTCTACTATCACCCAGGTACATACTAACTGCTGGGTGAACAGGGGTCACAGGTGTAAGGAAACATGCCCAACGTTTCCACCCATGCCGGGATCGAACCACAGATGCTTAGTATGTGAGCCGAGTACACCTCCAACCTAGCCACGGGACATTGTCCAGGTTTAATCACAGTAAGACAGTTTTCCCTCAAGGTCAAGTGAGGACGCATGTCAAGAAGTTCGAAAAGGGTTATTATGTACTAATAAACTAATTACATACATCAGTGTGCTGCCACTAGTGTGTGTGTGTGTGTGTGTGTGTGTACTCTCCTATTTGTGATTTCAGGGGTCGATCATGGCTCCTGGCCCCCGCCTCTTCACTGGTCGCTACTGTGTGTGTTTTTTGGTGGTAACATATAGAATAAAATTTCGGTTTTAATCCCCACACTGTTTTGCTGCCGGAGAAATCAAACTACTCAAACCGATGATTAAGAATATTAGTGCTACTTCTTGCAGGTTCCTGGTGAGGCAGACTGGTGCCACACTGACGAGCCAGGAGGTGGCACTGGGAGCGGCTAATGTAGTGATCGTTGCGGTGGGTCGTGACTACTACGACTACCTGCCCCTCTCTCTCCTGCGAGGCAAACTGCTCATTGATGTCTCTAACAACACCGAGCGTCGCAAGGGACCACAGTGAGTACCCTCGCACCAAGAATTACCATTATAACCTTAGAAGCGCTACACCCGTACGAGTTGTACAGCACCTATACTTAGTTTTACTTGTTTGTATGGGGTTCAGTACTCTGCTCTCAGCCTCGCCTCCTACACTGTAATTCGGGATTGCAGATTTCTTGCCTTTTGAACCTTATCTACTTTTGAAGCTGTGTATTGAGTTTGCCTCCACAACTGCCTCATCCAAATTATTTCAATTTGTAAGATTAGATTTTTAGATTTTGCCACCGAAGTGGCTAGTTTATTGTGCACCCCATATCCATCCTGTGGAAGGTAGCGCGAGAGCATATGGATACACAAAAGGCCTAGGAACTAGGCCCCAAAGGGTTAACAGGAATACATATGGATTTATATCTACATATCTATAGTTCACTTATCTGTTACAAGCAAATTTGCTTAGTATATCTGGTATCTTATTTTCATTAATAAGATATCTTGACATGTCACATAGGTTATTATACTGTCTGTCTCTGTATTCCTCAATAAGTGGACAATTAAGCACATAGTGCTCAAGAGATTGACCATATGTCTGATCACATAATTTACATTTAGTTTGATCATCATCTGTGTGTCTCCCAAACTGCCAGAAGTACTTGTAACCAAGCCTAAGCCTGGCCACTACAACATCAGTCAGTCTGTTCACATTGCAAGTTGCTCCATAAACATACTTATCTACGTTCATGTTATCATAGTGGGTTATAGATCTACTCAGGCTTCTAACTGCATTCCTATAACAATCATTTTCATTATTTACTTCTCTCCTAATATTATTCCTAATGCTAGACACAGTTATACCAAAGTTACGTTCTACATTCTCCTTCTGGGTACTCTTCTTGGCTAACATATCAACTTTATCATGAAGGAGTTATCCAATGTGTGATGGGATCCATAGCAATTGTACATTAATTCCTTTGTCCCTAATTTTTGAGTATCTATACCTGGCTTCTCCAATGAGCATGTTGTTGGAGTCATTATACGAGTCAAGAGCCTTCAATGATGACATAGAATCAGTAATGATGATGGAGTCAAGCTCAGTGTCATAGGTTAGCTTTAGCGCCATTAGGATTGCAAACAATTCAGTTTGCAGTGTAGACGCCCAGTTAATTTTTTATGCCTAACTCAACAAATTTATTATCGTTCTTAACTAGGGAGGTGGCAACAAGAGCAGATGCAGCCCTGCCAGAAGACTCCTGTTTAGATCCATCAGTGTATATAACTTGTGATAACTTATTACTACCAGCTAGGTGAGAAATTTCTTCTTGAGCAGTTGCTCTAACAAGAGATTTAAGGAAGGGATTACTAGCAATGAGCTTCTTGGGAGGGACTTGTAGGTATGTGATATTAAATGAACACATCTTCCATGGAGGGGTGAAATGCTCTTGTTGCCTACAGTGATACAGTTCATGCAGGTTATAAAACTTAATGCAATTGCACGTTTTCACAATCCATTTAGATCTGTATTTACCTCTAGACACTTGGTAAGATTCATTGTGACAGTGTCTGGTTCGTTTCTCAACATTCTAATACCGAGTACAGTGTTAATCTCAACAATCCTACCACTGATACTAGAAATACCAAGCTCCTTCCTCATGTTAAGAACTTTTGTAGATCTGGGACAGCCAAGAATAATCCTGAGAGCTTCATTTTGCATTAACTCCAAGGGTCGGAGAGAACTTTCTCTAGCTAATATCAACATGGGAGCAGCATAATCAATTAAGGACCTAACATAGGCTATGTACATCATTCTCACGATTCTCACATTAGCACCATAGTTGTGGTTGTAGCCAGCAACAGCTTTGAGAGCATTTAGCCTAGCTTTGCATTTCTTGTTTAGTTGTGGTATAGTGGATTTGTTAAAGGGTACATCTACACCAAGATATCTGTAAGTTTTAACGTAGCTAATGATTTCACCCTGCAAATAGATGGGTGTGGGATGTAGTTTGCTTGTTAATATCTTTGTTTTAGAGGAAGATATGAGGCCTAGTCGATTACAAATTGTTTGAACTTCATTAAGAATGGTATTCATCTTCTTATGCCCTGTTGTATGGATCATGAAATCATCAGCATAGCTTATAGCTATATGTTTAAGTGAGGCAGGTAGAGCATTTAGGAGAGCATTAATCAGAATATTAAATAGCATGTGACTAAGAACTCCTCCCTGCGGTGTACCTAAAGACATTTTTTAGAATCACTTCTGAAGCCTTTGTAAAGGACAGAGGATACTCTATTTGGCAGGTATCCTACCACCTTAAGACTAAGGAATATTTCCATACATCCCCGTGGCTGATGTGTGTGCAGCTTCCACCTGTGTTCCCTTGATTCTGACCCTCTTAATTCAAAGTCTGTCCTTATCTACCCTATACCTAGTCGAACCAAGTAGCCTGTTGTATTTTTTGCTGTGCATCATGTGTTTTCTTCCAGTTACCGTAGCAATGCAGAATACCTTCAGGGCCTCGTGCCAGAAGCCAAGGTGGTCAAGGGTTTCAATGTACTCTCAGCTTATGCTCTCGAGAATGGTGGCATCCAGGGCAGCAAAGAGGTGAGTCAGCACTTACATTCAAATTCAAATTTTATTCTCTATAAAGATTACAATGTTGAATTTACAGAATCTGGTTGTTGTGTGGTTAACACGTAGTTAAATAATGATTGAACATTAAAATGGTATAAAATACCGACAGGTTGTTAGGTAAGACACATATGCAACAGTTAGGTATCTTTATTATGAAACGTTTCGCCTACACAGTAGGCTTCTTCAGTCAAGTACAGAAAAGTTGATAGAAGCAGAAGAAACTTGAAGACGATGTAATCAGTCCATCACCCTTAATGATTACAGCGTGTACCACTAGAACGCCTAGAATGGCTAGGCATTTCGGGCAGACTTAGTTTAATTCTTTATTTTAAAATATTACAAATTATGAGGTAAGTTGGTATTATGGCTAAGTGACTAAATACTAGTTTGTGAGTTTAGCAATGTGAATGCTTTTGTTTTGGCACAGTACATAGTTTCAGTATTGGAGTATCATAGGATTCATTATTTTAAGATTGAGATTAATGTTTCTGTTTATGGTCAAATGGGTGAGTGAGTGTAAGTGTGAACCACCAGGTGGTATTCGTGTAGTTAGTTGATGGGGTGTATCAGGGAGATAAGATGTTTTCTAATGGTAGTTTTGAAGGTGATGAATGTGTCTGCAGTTCTAGAGTTCTCAGGTAGGGTGTTCCAGATTTTAGGGCCTTTGACATACATTGAATTTTTGTAAAGGTTTAGTCGGACACGGGGAATGTCGTAGAGATGTTTGTGTCTGGTGTTATGCCTGTGGGTTCTGTCACAACTATCAAGAAAGCGTTTTAGGTCAAGGTTGATATTGGAGTTTAAGGTCCTGTAGATGTAGATTGCACAGTAGTAGGTTGTTGCTTGTGTAATATTAAACGTATAAATTATAAAACTAATATTAACGTACTATGAAATAGCTGGGGGTCCACTGCAGACTTTTTTTATTCAGAATTTTTATGGTAGTCCTAAAATATAATTCATTCATTTGAGATTTGCCGGTACTTCCGGCCCGGGTCTTCTCCAGATGGTGACCCGGCGTAAAATATAATGTAAATATACTTTATCTGTGCCTGGACCCCCCCAAGGGGTGAGGGGTTCTTCATCCAAGGAACTGAACGTATTCTTCCCTTGGATCAAGTCTGAATGCCTCCCATTCTCCATGGTTTAGCGTTTCCTTTCTGATTAAAATAAATACTGGGCCTGGAGCTGTGAATTTAGGGATTTATACCGTACGCTAGACTTCAATATATTTTCTGATATACCTACATTATTTTAGTATTATTATGGAGAAGCTGAACCCGTTTAAAGAGCCTGGCATTTCCTCAGTACCCTTTCTAATAAGGCCCTGTCTAGTCATCCAGGTTATTGCTGCCAGTATCCTGCACGCCTACAGAACCATCACAGAAGGCACTATTTGTAGGTAATTGTCCGGTTTTCTTTTAAACTTGTACCTGTAAGTCAGACGCATATATAATGGGACTGATTATTCCAGGTATACCTTGCTAGTGATCACATGGACGCAAAGACGAAGGTTTCGGATATAGTACGCATGATGGGATTTCACCCCGTGGACTGGGGAAGTCTGCAGGCCTCTAGAGACATTGAGGATATTCCCCTCCTATTCATGCCATCCTGGAAGCGACCTGTAGCTGTTGTTTTTGGAATCTTCTTATTCATGTGGATTCTTGCACTATTTTCGTAAGGAACACTTTTGTATATACTGTATTTTGTGTGCAAGTTTGCAGTTCATGAATATACAGGAACCTATGGAGTTGATGACTGAGAGTAGTAAGCACTTGTTAATTTAGGTTCCAGATCTGCTACAACTGGGCTAAAGGTGACTGGCATGGAGAATGGAAACACATTGCAATGATAAACTTCAATCGTGTCATTGCCATTACTGCTATTTGGACCTTATCTTTCTGCTACCTTCCAGGTAAGTGTCGAGAAGTAGCAGTATAAATGTAGCTCTTTGTAGACTGGCTTAGTATACAGATAAAGTATCTTGAAATTCATAATAAATTTGTTAATTCTTTTGATTTTATAGCTAACTACCTTATGAAGTCATTACACCTTTGGTGTATAATGTGAACGAGTTTGTCACCGATTGATGAAAAAGGTAACCTCCCATTATCCCAGCCTCCAGATTTTCAGGGTAGTTGATCATCCTGTCATATAGAAAGTGTTAGGAGAGAGGCAGCAAAGGTCAGACAAGTCAGGAGTGTCCTGAAGTTTAGAACATTTGACAGCGTAATGAGAAAGGGGGCATCTACAGAAACAAAACCAGGACGAAGATTCATGTTAAAAATAAGGTATGCCTCAACAAGAAGGCATCTTTGAAAGACGATAAAAGAGTACAGTTTTGGCAGAGGAACAAGTAATACCATGTTTTGTCTTTAACATGACAGAAAAAGAGCATCATTAGTGTGACCAAGGCGAACATTTCTCTTGTGCTTTTTTAAGTTTACCTGGAGAGAGTTCCGGGGGTCAACGCCCCCGCGGCCCGGTCTGTGACCAGGTCTCCTGGTGGATCAGAGCCTGATCAACCAGGCTGTTACTGCTGGCTGCACGCAAACCAACCACAGCCCGGCTGGTCAGGAACCGACTTTAGGTGCTTGTCCAGTGCCAGCTTGGACTGCCAGGGGTCTGTTGGTAATCCCCCTTATGTATGCTGGGAGGCAGTTGAACAGTCTCGGGCCCCTGACACTTATTGTATGGTCTCTTAACGTGCTAGTGACACCCCTGCTTTTCATTGGGGGGATGTTGCATCGTCTGCCAAGTCTTTTGCTTTCGTAGCGAGTGATTTTCGTGTGCAAGTTCGGTACTAGTCCCTCTAGGATTTTCCAGGTGTATATAATCACGTATCTCTCCCGCCTGCGTTCCAGGGAATACAGGTTTAGGAACCTCAATTATTATTATAATCAAAAAGAAGCGCTAAGCCACAAGGGCTATACAGTTAGGAACCTAAAGTGCTCCCAGTAATTGAGGTGTTTTATCTCTGTTATGCGCGCCGTGAAGGTTCTCTGTCTGGAGATTATTATAATCAAAAAGAAGCGCTAAGCTACAAGGGCTATACAGCTTAGTCTGGAGAGCAGCCGGTTCCACCAAGGTATTGGAAAGGACAAGAGAAGCAGGAAATGGAGCAGACGCTAGAAGCATGTGACAGGAGAAGCACGAACTGAACTTATGTGAAGTTTGGCAAAAGTAGGTTTGATATTTAAAGGAGAGGAGCACTTATACTTTGAAGCCGATCAAGAGCTCTAATTTATAGATGAAAACTTTAAAGGATGGGAAAAAAAATCTGACAACCACCATAGGTGTCCCATTTTGAAGGATTAATAATACATAAATTCCCAGTTTTTATTTCATATTACATTTTTTAAATATAATCAAATGAGTGATGTGCTAATATGTTTGTTACAGGTCTAATAGCAGCATATATCCAGCTGTGGCGAGGTACAAAATATAGCAGATTTCCAAAGTGGCTGGATGACTGGCTGAAGATGAGGAAACAACTTGGACTTCTGATGCTGGGACTTGCTGGAATGCATGTTAGTATTTAGATAGTTTTTGTTTTGTTTGTTTCTTTTTATGTTCTGTGGCAGATATAGCAAGTTAATTAGAATGGTTTGAATAAACCCTTTAGTATATTATGGGATACTTCTGCTTAGACTTACAATATGGTATGCATACATTATACCAGCCTTCCTTAAATCTAGTGAATTGTTTGCCAGTTTCCTAGGTGGTGTCATATTTATGTAAAGTGCTAAACCTGTGGGGGTCTTAGCACTGCCATTTATACAACTAATACAAAATGCTAAATTATAGTTATTAAAATAACAAAATATCATGTAAACAGCCATTTCACATTATTCTAGATTTCTGACTATGTATTCATTATCTTGATATTCACTCAAAAATCTTAAAGGTGTACAGTAGCTTGTAAGAATAGATATGACAATACTCAGATTTTCCACTTTTTTTTTTAACTGGCTGTATCCCACCAAGGCAGGGTGACCTAAAAAGAAAAAAAGTTTTTCTTTTGAAATTTAGTAATTTGTACAGTAATTTATCATTTAAAACAAATGCGTACAGGCTTCCGTTTTACACACACTTGGCAGTACCTCCCTGGGCGATTGCTGTCTACCAATCTACTACATATAATTTTTTTTATATTAAAGTCCAGGGTTTATTCCCTGGACTCCAGCAATGAGTCGCTTCTATCCTATTACCTTGCTGTACAATCATGAACTGATGTATTCTGTGCAGACATAAAAAAAAAATTGCTTAGCATGTATGTATTTGCTTTCTATTGCTGTTTGATAAAAAAATATTTTTCCTGTAGTTAAAATGAATCTTTCCTTCTACCTCAGGCCTGCATTTCTGTTGCATTTCTGACACCACAGACAACAGAGTGGGTATATGAGGAACCCCAGAAAATTCGAGCCCAAGTGTTAGTGGATGCCAACACTACTTTAACAGAAACTATAACCTTGTACAACTTCGAATTCAACTGGCGAGGAGAACTCTTCCTCACAATGGGTAAGTACTATAAATGGTTACTCGCTGTATGTTAATACACAGCTGAATAGTGAAGAATTGCTTCCTGGAAGGTTAGACCAAAATTGAAATATAAAACTGTAGCGGAGTTTTTCTTAATGATACTTCTCCTCATTGTTTTTACAATCAAATAATTACCCTAAAATGTCATGAATAATGCATAGGTTAACAGAATAAAAAAATTGTATCAGATACTGTATCTACAGGTAGTTTAAAAAAAATGCTGAATTATACTGTGGCAATTCAGTGTTTTAAAGTTGTATGCTTGATTTCAATCAGATGTGATTTTTTTTTCAGGAGCCATAGCAACATGCTTGTTGGTCATATTGGGTATAACATCTTTGCCCTCAGTCACGGCTACTCTATCCTGGAAAGAGTTTACCTTCATTCAAAGTAAACTTGGTTGGGTTGCCTTGATTGCAGCTGCTTCTCATGATATCTTCCTTGCATGGCATTTTATGTTTCTTTACTGGGGATGCTTCAGAACTCTCCCAATAGGCCCACAGGTAAGTTGTATTATGATACAAATTGGGGAATGTGATCTTGTATATTCACATTTACTGTTCTATTTGACACTTTTGGTACATATAAATATATTTTGTAGCTCATATACTAAACTAGTCTTAAGTCTTTCTTCACAGCACACTATCTGCATTCCTTTACATACTTATCTATGCCTCTTGGACTACACCTCATACTTTCCACATTATTTCGTATACACAGATCCAATTCCCTAGATCATGAGCCCCTCACCAGCGTCAATTATTATTATAATCAAAAAGAAGCGCTAAGCCACAAGGGCTATACAGCGCTGCTCACCAGCGTCAAGAAACCTCCCATGAGGGGTACAGTATTACAGATGGGTAGGATATCTTAATTTTTACCAGGTTTTGTCAGTAGAGAAATTTATTACACTCTAAGAGGTACTCCCTATTGCCAATTTATCCTTCAGAATTAACAAGGTTAAAGTTGTGGTAACTTAAAGTGAAGCAATTGAGTTTTTCAAGATAGCTTTTGATAGATTTTTGTTAGTTATCTTGTTTGAAGTCTTCAGTCTTTCCTCACATTCAAGGTAGTTTCATGATTTTAATCACTAGCAATGAACCAACATTGTGATGTACTGAAGGGGGTGGATTATTATTATTATTATAATCAAAAAGAAGCGCTAAGCCACAAGGACTATACAGCTGCTGCAGGGCAGGAAGGAAGTGAGGGCATCAGGTGGCAAAAGGGAGATGGATGAGCAACAGGTTACAGATAACAGCGGGGCAGTGGATGGTGAAAGGGTAAAGGGCAGCAAGGGACTGAACCAGAAAGGGCTGAGGGGAGTGCGAAAAGTATCATCAGAGTTTGTGGAGTAAATCAGTCGTTGTCAAGAAGTCAATAGAGAGTCAGATAAAGGAGGGTCCATCACAAGAAAGGGAAGGTAAAGAGAGAGTAGTAGAAACGAAGATGACGATGGAGGTAAATTCTGCGTGCTCGTTGATAGAGAGGGCAGTCTAACAGAATGTGGCTAACGATACTGGTACTTACACTGCTCACAGAGAGGAACAGGGTGCCTCTCCATGAAAACCCCATGAGTAAGAACGAGTGTGGCCAATGCGAAGCGGGGAGGAAAGTTGTCTCCCAACGTCGGCACAGATGACAAGAAGACGGCCAGTAACCTATGCACGGTTTAATAGAATGAAGTTTGTAACCAGAAGCAGAGTTTGACCAACGTTTTGATGCCAACGGGTGCGAAGGTGGGTAGCTAATGCATCAAAATAGTCCAGAAATGGAACACCTCGATAGGAAATTGGTAGATCATATACTGCTGACCGCGCAGCAGTGTCTGCCTGTCATTGCCCTGTACTCACATGACCAGGGACACCAACAAAAAACAATACTTTATGTTGGTAGAGATACGCGTAGCCAAAGATGGATACGGAAACTAGGGGTATAGTGTATCAAAATTTCGTATAGCCCTGTAGAGCACTAAGGGAAGTCCTGGACTACTACAAATGATGACACAGGCATAGATGCATAACGACTAAGTGCTGCAGAATGGCATACAGTTCAGCAGTAAAATGCTAGCTGAAGATAGCAAATGGCCGCTCGTACGACGCTGTCCGGAAACCACTGCTGCGAATTCCGACGCCGACTGAAGACTTAGAGCCACCAGTGTACACAGAGGTGGCATGAGAATGGGAGTGGAAGTGAACAAGAAAAAGAGAGCGGGAAGCCACCGTAGCAGTTGCGCTTTCGAGCAAAGGGAAGTGAGAAAGAACAGACCCGAAAACTGGAACTTTCCAGGGTGCAGGGAAAATAGATGCTACATGAACATATAAAGGAGGTAACTGAAGGGAAGACAAGAGTGAATGAAGGCGAAGGAAAAGGGAAAAAAAAAAAACCGGAGGCCCAATGCAGGGGGGCCCCCCCCGGCGAACGAAATAAAGAATGTCTACTAATAACGTGACCATTCTATAAATGGAAATGATTTGTGTAGATCGTGAGAGAGTACATAGTAACGTAGGCAAGGGCATCACGGCGATCAACAAGGAATGAACTTTGCCCTTCAGTAAGAGGCTCTCAACAGGGGAAGACGAAAAGCACCAAGGCACAACGAAAGCCTTGGTGAAGGAAAGAGTTAGGCTAAGAGATAGCAGGAGAGGCCCGCGGAATAAATCTGGTCCACCATAATCGAGTTCGATGAAAACGAGGGCCTAATGTAGGCGAATCAAGTTCGACGATCAGCTCCCCAGAAAGAAAGAGCAAGGATTTAAGAAGGTTTAGCCGGCTGTGACAAGTTTGCCTTCAGAGAGGTTAAGTGAGGTATCCAGGTTAACCGACGTCCAAAGAGAAGGCCTAAAAACAGACAGGAATCACGTTCGGGGAAACGGAGCCATAGAGATACAAGGATGATCGGAGAGAAACATAGCGTCTAGTGAAAGTAATTTGGTTTATTTTGGTACTTGAAACTTTAAACCCATGTGTGGTGGCCCAAGTGTGAAACATGGTTCAGAACCGCATGGCTGGAGAGAAACTGCAAATAAGGTGACAGTCCAGCGCCTGCCCAAGCAATAGCGAAGTCCATCAACATAGAGTGATGACCAAATATTGGTGGAAAACAGAGCCAAATCATTATAGCAAGGAGAAAAAGTGTTTTGTGCTCTAGAACACATCCCTGAGGGACACCTTCAGCTGGACGAAGTCCGGGGAAAGAACATTATTGACTCTAACACAGGAAATGTCTGTTCAGTTAAAAAGTTCTTAGGAAGGATGGTAGATTGCCATCGTAGTCCTAAGGAAAGGGCCTGGCCGAAAATATTAACCTCCAAGTTTGTGTCATATGCCTTCCACAAGTCAAAAATATGGCAATACCTTGAGTGATTATTCGCAAAGGATTAACGCACATACGTATCCAAAGCGTGTAAGGGGGTCTATGGTAGAACGACCCTTACGAAAAGCCAATTGACTACGGAGAGACTGTTGTGAGTCCTCTATCAAAAAAACCACATTAAACGTCGATTTACGAGGCGTTCCATCACACTTGCAAACTGCACGTGTAAGAGCGAAGGGGCGATAAGTGGAGGCATCATGTCCTGTAGTATCCCCGGTTGCGGAAAGGGAGAACAATGGCAGATTTTCCACAGCTGGGAGAAACGTCCCATTGAGCCCAAATAAAGATTGAAGAGGTGTAAGAGGCTACAAGGTCTGACCGATGTGTAAATTTGTAACATACGAATATGATGATTCTTCAGGCCGCCAGCTGCCGAAGATCGGCCAGCTGAGAGCGTTGCCTCCCAGTTCTTTGAAGTGAAAAAAGGCACTTATAACTGTTCTTCTCCGAGAGAAGAAAAGTCCAAGGGTACTAACTCTTCCTGGCCAGACTTTGAGGAAAGAAACGAGGCATAATGGTAGGCCCTCGGACTAACGGACCAGATGTTGGCCAAGTTCATGGCAAACGTCGAGAGGGGTTTGCTAATCAACACCAGTGACCCTTAGAACAGGAGGCCGGTCAAGGAGAGTAATGTACCACTCAATTTCCTCAATTTTTTCCAACACGGCACGCATAGAAGACGCAGAGGTGTATGGTGGAAACATAGTCTCGCCAACAAGTGCTTTAGCTACACACGGAAGACACGGCAGCGATCGCACGCTTTCTGCTTAAAATCAACATGTCCCCTCAGTCGGTTCTATTGTACCGTTACCTGCCCCATGCAGCACTTTCAAACGTAACTGCACGAGCACAAGCAGGCGACCACCAAGGCACGCACTTCTGAGAATGCCTGCCTGAGGTTTGGGGTATAGAATGAGAAGCTGCGGTAAAAACGATGTCGAAAAGATGTGTAGGATCGACATCAATGGAGGATGAAGAAGGAAACTCACAAAAAGCAGTGAGGTGTGAGTAAAGATCCCAATTTGCCCGGATCAAACTGCTCAGGAGGGCTATACGGAAAGGAGGTGGATAGGGGAAGGAGAAGTAAAAATGATCGAAAATGATCGCTGTCATGTAAGACTGGTAGAACAGACCGAGGTGAAGTCTAGTTGCAGTGAGGAAGAGCATACTGATAGATCGATGCAAGAGAGAGTATGAGTACGAGGATCAAAATGGGTGGGTACCCGTATTAAAAACATGGAGGGGGTGAGAGGCCAAGAAAGCCTCCAACAGAATGCCACGTGAGTCACAATGAACCCCCCACAGAGGAAACGGCGGGCATTAAAATCACCAAGTAACAGCAAGGGTGGTGGTAAAATGCAACAAGAAAGGCAAAGTCCTGGATAGGAAAATGCACGAGAAGAAGAGATATAAAGAACATATGTAAACCACTTTATTCAAGTGGATAACTGGCTGCAGTGTAATGCAGCGAGGTATGGACAAATAGTTTACAGAACGGAATATCATGCGTAGAAGAAGGCACTTTCAATTAAAGGTCCCATCTTGAGAAGGATCGAAGAATACAATAAATTACAGCTGAGAAAGGTCTGGAAAACACCGCGTGTAATTTTGGTTCTTGTAAGCAAGCACCAACAGGGTAAACTGGAAAGCAACCATCTGAAGCTCACCCCGACAAAAAATTACCCCTGAAGCCGCGGATATTCCACTGTAAATAGCCATGATTGGCGATGAGAAAATATTCAGGAATCTGTAGTAAAGGCACCTACGGACTTAGAGGGGTTAGAAAAGTCAGAACGTGGGTGGCATTGGAAGATGTTTCAAAGTAGCGAAGGAACGGAGCGTTGCGAAGAATGGGGTTGTGAAGATGAGAGGATAGGAAGAGAAGGAACAGAGTGAATCAGTGTCCATTGAAGGTTAGTCCTCTGCAATATATTCTGAAATGGCATCAGTGTTTCCTGAATTCAAAGATGTATGGGAGACTCATATTGGAGATAGAGGAGGAGGGTGAGTAAAGATTGGGAACAGTAATGGACTGTACAAAGTAGAGGGGAGGGAAAAGTGTAAGGGGACAGGAGATGAAGGTGTGGGGGGGACAGAAAGGCAGAAACCTGGGAGGTGAACAGAAGAGGGAGAAACTTGGAGGGGACGGGGGTGGAAGGCATAGTACGAGGAGGAGGGTGAATCATCCACACTTGTAATAGAGCCAGAGAGAGGGGAAAACTAGGTACAGAGACTGAAAGTAAAGTGTGGAGGCGAAGAAGGGAAGAAGGGCAAAGAAGATTGAGAAACAATGTGGATTTTTGACTTCATGAGTAGAGGTGCGATTGTATTAGTGTGTCGTACGAGGTCTTGTGTCGATAACTGGGGCTTGTGAGGAAGGACCGAAGATGTGGAACAGACTGAGTTTGGTAGTCCGGGCGTCAGAGCCAAGGACAGCAAAAGGATTAGATGCCGTAGTGGCTATGGGAGGGGGTAACAACAAGGAGGCTGCAGAAGATGGGGACCCCAGAAGTGGGGGGACGTAGAAAACGAGAATAAGAAACACGGGGTAGTCTCCCTTGGAGCGGAGATGAGAACTGCCATAGCATAAGGGAGACCTTCTGCCTCTGTTGAGGCAACGACGGAATTCACGTTCATTTAAGTAGACCTGGCAACGCGGGAGTAGAAGAGTGAGCTTCATACAATTAAGGCAAGATGGAGGCTGACTGCAAGATGTATTAGAATGGTCGTCTGCTCCAACAGACTGGGCATTCGGCATAGATCTGCAATATTTCCTGGGTGACCAAACGCCAGCAATTTCACTACATTGTTGCGGTGTATGAATCACCTGTCCGACTTGTACCGATGTCCCGCGACATATACAGAGGACGGAGTTCTCGGCTGTCCAAAGTTATACGAGCCACATTGCAAGGGTATAACGTCTCCGCCATCCGCCCCGCGAGCAGAAGGACATAAGTGTCTACTTAGAGGATTGGGAGAATCCTGGAGTTCCAGCTGTTCAAAAAGTGACATGCCACATGACTGGAAATTCTGTTGGACTAGTATGGGGGCAGAAATGACAGTACCACTACAAAGAAATGAGAAGAAGATGTTTTACAATCGTGATAAGGAGTAGTATCCGATAATCGAAAGGAGAGAAAGATAATGACTGGTAGCATGCGGACAGTGCTCGATTGGCCCGAGTACCGCTCGTGAAGCGTGAAATGAAATATCTCTGCCACATACCAGGAGCGCTTTGGCAGATACTAAGGTCAGAATAAGTTAGGCAGAAGAAGAAGTTGGGTCTTAAAGTAAAGAATTTAGACCATTGTGTGTCCGAAACTGAGCGTGAGAGAGGAGTGGCTTGACGTGTCAGCGTTTCCGAGTAGAATGGAAGGTAACGACGGAGCATCATCAGGAATTACTTGGGCGTTTAGGAGAGGACGAGTTGTCCGCATGAAATGGGTGGGCGATTCGAAAATTGCCGACCGTAGGGGAGAAGCCGGAAGCATCGTCAAAGGAGAGCGGAGTTCGACAAATCGAAGAGACAGTCGAAGCCCCGTACCTGAAAGCGGGAGAGGAAACAGCACCAGCTAGAGGTTACAGGGCATCAGGAGTGCCGAAGAGTGGTCTAAACACAAGGCAGGGTCAGAATGGGGTGCGGTAACAGAATGGCCCGGGGGTAGTGGTATCATGGACTAGTGCTGCCATGGTTAGTTACTACCTTTTCTTTTTGTTTTTAAGAAAAAAAAAAGAAAGAAGAAAAGTAAAATAAAAACAAAACAAAAGAATAAAAAAAGGGGGAGCAGGGGAGAATAGTTCCCAGGATGAATGAAAGGCCCCGGAATATCTCCCTCCGCGCCCTAGAGGACTCGAACACCGCTAGTAGCGCAGATGCCATCATGGAACCCGAGCCATACCCACCCTTCATGCCAGTAAACCGCAATCCGGGGATAGCAACCTCACATCTGCGAGCTACCTCGGTGGACAAAAGAGAGGGCGGCAGATATCCGCCACAAAGCATACCACCATCAGCCAACACCCCCGAATCCGAAAGGTGGCTTCCAGAGATACACCCTCGCCCAAAAGACACCAAGCTACTCCGGAATACCGAGAGGGATGTGGACTCCCTAGGCAATCCAATTCCACTGGCAAACTACGCCACCGCCAAAACCTCAACGGAATGGGAAGGACCCGGTGTCCTTTCCCCTACTAGAACTTAGCGCGCCTGTGGAGAAATCACGAAGGCAAACAAGAAGGAAGGGTCAAAAGGGAGGGGTGGAGGAGGAGGAGAGGAATGGAAAAAGGGGAGGATGGGGAGGATGGGATAGGGGAGGGGAGAATGGGGGGTAATTAGGTTCGGTCTGAGGAAGAAGACCGACAGGGCTAATTCCTCAGACCAAGAGCCTCTTCACCACGCCAAGGAGCCCCCCTTGAAGAGGTGAAGGGGGTGGAAAATTGGATTTGTGATGTCACTGCACTTCTGGCAAGACAGCAATTGGATGAATGATGTTAAATGTTTTATTTTTTTGGGTGTCACTGCTTTGCCAGGACATGGTCATTGAGGTAAAAAATAAAATATAGCTACTCTAACTTAATTTTAACTTGATATATTCAGCATTTTAAACTGAGTACTTGTGGTCATTGTTTTAACTCAGGGATGCATTTCTTGTTTTTGAAAGACTTTATTGATTCATTTATGAAATTTATTACATCATCATACTGGTGTGTACTTGAGAAATGTATAAATATTTATTATTTCAGTATGCATTATATCCTCCGTTCATCGCTGTAATCATGAAGATACCGCTGTTGCTGCCACCTGTCGACAATTACCTACAGAAAATACGAAGAGGATACGAACGTGGTAGTCAGACTGAAAATAGAAAATCGGACGTGGCTTAAAATAGATACCAGTGTCATATTTATTGTATGCTCTTACATATCTTGTGCTGTGTAAAAATCTGTGATGTATATCTCAACTTTATGGATACAGAGTTTGAAAATGGGGATATCTACTATTTTCAGTACTGTATATATTTGACTAGGTAACATATGGGTACCTGTAAAATTTTAAGTTACCTACATATTACCTCAAAGACCTTTACATTAATTATAAACTCTTAGAAATAACTAACCATAGTGTATTTTATAGATTTGTTTGCCCTACAAAGAACTTAATACTTTGACACTCTTTGCAACACAGATTGTGTTTTTCATGATTAATGTGCTACAGTATAAAAACTAGAAATCACATATAAAATTTATGATATTAAAGTATCTTTTTTGTATAGATTACATAATCTAAAGCTTCATGAATTGGTATTATTTTAAATACAACACATTCCTGGTAATATTTGCTCATAAATTAATTTGGCAAATTGCCATGAGCTGTTAAGGTGTGAGCATTTTAAATAAGCTCCTAATCTAGACTAACATGGCTAATTACAATCACTCCAGTCAAATTGTGGTAAGGATAATTAAGCAATTTTGTTAATTTGCTGATTTTACTGAGATTACACCTACTTCAGTACAGCGCTAACACTTAACCCTTAAACTGTCCAAACTTAGATCTACGTTTTTTCAACATTTGAAAGTACATGTGTAAAACAACGTTGATCTAATTTTGGAGCACTACACATGTGAACGTAAATTTGTTTGGACAGTTTAAGGGTTAAAGAAGAATAATACATTTAAACTAATCTTTCACATAAATATTGAGTAGTGTAGTGTTTTTGAAGAATGTATACAGTTTAAGTATTGTGAACAGTGTTTGTAAATGCTGATATTGAGGACGGTAGTGTAGTATGTTATTTCCTTCCTCTGAAAAGTGGAGTTACTGTTTTGAATAACCAGGTTTGAAGTATTACATTGTAGGTTTAGGAAGTCATTATTTCTTGTGATAATGGAAATTAATACTGTAGCATGGAACTGCTTTTATGATGCATATTTTTAAGTAATTTTAGTGGAAAATTTAAATGTTTATTTTGTAAATGGACACGTTTCTTAAAATACAAATATTTAAGATTTTAATGCTTCAGAGCTTATCAAATCATAAAATTCCACATACAGCCTCGCTTAACGACAGAGTTCCGTTCCTAAGACCACGTCATTAAACGAATTCGTCGCTAAGTGAGTAGCATACTATAATGGTAGCGAGTTTGTGTCGGCCATCTTTGATTTTGTTTTGATGTCGCCTTAGCACCATTTATAGCATTTCTGGTATATTTTTAAATGTTTATACAGCCTCTCCTCACTTAGCGACGTACTTGGACTTATGACGGGCTCTGTAACCAGTATGCATACCTAAATAATGTATATTAAAGCTGATTTCCTCTATTCAGCTTAATACAAAATACAGTACACTACTATATAAACATTTAAAAATATACCAGAAATGTTATAAGTGGTACAGAAGTGACATTAAAACAATATCAAAGACGGTTGACACAAACCCACTACCATTATAGTATGCTTCTCACTTACTGATGAATTCGTTTACCGACGTGGTCTTAGGAACAGAACTCCATTGTTAAGTGAGGAGAGGCTGTACATAAATAAACTGAATAGAGGAAATCACCTCTGATGTACATTTAGGTATGAATACTAGTCAGAGGCGTCGGTAAACGAGTGAGGAAAGGCTGTATTAGGGGCACTGAATGGCCTATGGGGAGACTTGACACTTTACACAAAAAAAAATCAACCCTAGGACACTTGTGGAAGGGTCTTTGTGGTAATAAGTGGCACTATGACACTCGGGCTTAGTGCTTTATTTGAAGTAATAAGATTGAAAAAATAAAATATGAGTTCATAATTATTTCCATGTTATGTTCATTTTAATAAGAACTGGCAATACATAATTACTATAATTAAAAAGTAATAAAATTAATTTTCAAGTTTTTTCTTTTACCGTGATGTACCTTATTCTTACACAGTGACCCACGTGTTTTTTTCTTTTGGCAGTATAGTATACTAATACTCTAATATAACTTTGGAATATACAATATTTGATTTGGTTTCCTCCACTCTTATAGTATTATATTTGAAACTATGCAAAATCCACAAGCCACAGCACTATATATTGTACAGTGAAGGACAGCGCTGTATGACCCTCGTGTGTTTAGCATTGTTTTGATAACTTAGTTAACCCTTAATTGGTCCAAACGTATATATACATTTCATTTGTCATTCATTCAACATTGGCACAATAGGGCCGAGACATGAGAGAATGGGTGTGCGCTATGAAAAAAATTGGGGATGCCTGGGTACCATGTGCTCTTTTTTCCTCAATATTTGGGGTGCTACGTGAGAGAATGCATATATACGTTTGGACCGCTTAAGGAACACTTATGTCTTCAGTATGCAAACTCTCCGGTAAGTTAAGGTACAGAAAGTTCATTGGTCTGTCTAGTTAACCAGTTACAAAATATCACCTTAAGAAATGAGTGAAAGCATTCAAATGCTCAGTTCTCATGGAATTTGCTGTTACCCTCCTAGACTTTTGATACTGTCCTGTGAGTAAGAGTATTGTGGACAAATATTTACATCCAATCACCAGTTACCCAAGCTAGAATACCCCAAAAGTTCTCGGCAAGCATGCCTCAAATATAAGGGACTGTCACAAGTTCTAAGCTGCAAAAAAGTGGTGGTGGTTTGATCATTAAGAGAGGATGGAGCAAAACAGAATGACTAGGAGGGTGTATAAATCTGCAGTGGAGGGAATGCAAAGTGGGATCAGCCTTGAAAATGATGGAGAAAAGAAAGTTGTGTGCAAGGGGCTTGGGGAGGCAGTATGGTGAACAAGTTGGATAGGAGTGGAGACGAATGGTTTTTGGGACCTGACGAGTTGTTGGAGCGTGATCGAGGTAATATGTGAAGGGATTCGAGGAAACTGGTTAGCCTGACTTAGAGTCCTTGGGATAGGAAATGCAGTGCCTGAACTTTTGAAGGAGGGGTTTGGGATATTTGTCGTTTGGAGGGACATCTGAACTGTTGTATCTACACACCTCTGGCAAGGCAGTGATAGTATGAACGATGGTGAAAGTTTTTTTCAGGTCACCCTACCCCTCTGGGAGACTGCCAGCGTACTAATATATATTTTTCATTTTTTTTCAACAAGTCAGCCGTCTCCCACTGAGGCAGGGTGACCCAAAAAGAAAATACTTTCATCATCATTCAACACTTTCACCTCACTCACACATTGTCTTCACAGAGGCCCTCAGATACAACAGTTTAAAAGTCCCTCCAAACTCTCAATATCCCAAAACCTTCCTTTAAAGTGCAGGCATTGTACTTCCCATTTCCAGGACTCAAGTCCTGCTAATGGGTTTCCCTGAATCCCTTCACAAAATATTACCCTGCTCACACTCCAACAGCTCATCAGGTCCCAAATACCATTAGTCTCCATTCACTAACACACTCATGCACGCTTGCTGGAAGTCCAAAGCCCCTCGCCCACAAAACTTCCTTTGCCCCCTTCCTCCAACCTTTCTGTGGACGACCCATACCCCGCCTTCCTTCCCCATTAGATTTATACGCTCTCCAAGTCATTCTACTTTGTTCCATTCTCTCTAAATGACCAAACCACCTCAACAGCCCCTCTTCAGTCCTCTAATACTTTTAGCAACTCCACACCTCCTAATTCCCACACTACAAATTCTCTGTATAATATTTACACCACGACATCTCCACTGCCTCCAGCCTCCTCCTCACTGCAGCATTTACAACCCATGTTTCACACCCATATAAGAGTGTTGGTACCACTATACTTTCTAGCATTCCCTTCTTTGCCTTCATGGATAACGTTCTTTGTCTCTGCAGATACCTCAACGCACCACACCTTTTTTCCTTCATCAATTCTAAAGTTTAAGTCATATTTCATAAACTCATCAGCAGACAAGTCAACTCCCAAATATCTGAAAACATTCATTTCTTCCATACTCCTACCCTCCAATGTGATATCCAAGTTTTATCTAGATTGTTTGATACCCTCATCACCTTACTCTTATCTTATTCACTTTCAACTATATACCTTTACACACCCTCCCAAACTCATCCACTAACCTTGCAACTTTTAGAATCCCCCATAAGCACAGTATCAGCAGCAAAAAGTAACTGTGTCAACTCTCATTTTGTATTTGATTCCCCATAATTTAATCCTACCCCTCTCCCCAACACCTTAGCATTTACTTCTTTTACAACCCCAACTATAAATATGTTAAACAACCATGGTAAAATTACACATCGCTGTCTAAGACCTACTTTTACTGGGAAGTCATCTCCCTCTCCTACACACCCTAACCTAAGCCTCACTATCCTCATAAAAACTCTTTACAGCATTTAGTAACTTACTACCTATTCCATACACTTGCAACATCTGCCACATTGCCCCTCTATCCACTCTATCATGTCTTTTCTTAACCCTTTGACTGTTTCGGTCGTATATATACGTCTTACGAGCCACCATGTTTGATGTATATATATTCAAAAATTCTAGTGGCTTCAAATCAAACAGAAGAAAGCTGGTAGGCCCCACATGTGAGAGAATGGGTCTGTGTGGACCATATAAAAAAAATTCCTGCAGCACACAGTGCATAATGAGAAAAAAAAAACTCCAACCATGTTTTTTGTTTGAATAATAAATCGGAATAGAAAGCAAGAGTAATATCAGAGGGGCCTGGAGACATAACTGATGAACAAAGAAAATGTTATTTTAGAGCCAGGAATGTCTGCATTGTTCATTCTGGACCCTATTTTGAAATTGGCATATTTTTTTAATTTGTGTGAAATTGGCCAAATTGCAAATTTCTGACCATGTTATTGGGCAGTTTCTTGTACTCAATCGATAGAACAAATGGAGTTCTAAAGAAATAGCTATGAGTTTCGTCGACTGGAAGAATGGAATTAGCCAAAACTAGGGCTCAAAGCGGGTGAAATCGCCGATTCGTATATATCGCCAAGGTCGCTAACTTCGCGAGAGCGTAATTCCGTAAGTTTTCAATCAAATTTCATTCTTTTGGTGTCGTTACCATCAGGAAAAGATTCTCTATCATTTCATAAGAAATTTTTTTTTTTCAAAATTTTTTCGACACCAGGAAACACCTCAGGATTTGAGGTTGTGACACTCAAATGGTTAAATCTACAAATGCAATGAAAACTTCCCCACCTTTATGTAAATACTGTTCACATATATGCTTTAATGTAAACACTTGATCTACACATCCCCTACCCATTCTAAAGCCTCCTTGCTCATCTGCAATCCTGCTCTCTGTCTTGCCTCTAATTCTTTCAATAATAACCCTACGATACATTTTACCTTGTATACTCAGTAAACTTTTTTCCCTATAATTTTTACAATCTCATTTGTCCCCCTTCCCTTTATATAAAGGAATTATACACACTGCCAATCCCTAGGTACCTTCTCTTTCATACATTTTTTTTTTTCAACAAGTCAGCCGTCTTCCACCGAGGCAAGGTGACCCAAAAAAGAAAGAAAATCCCCAAAAAGAAAATACTTTCATCATCATTCAACACTTTCACCACACTCACACATTATCACTGCTTTTGCAGAGGTGCTCAGAATACAACAGTTTAGAAGCATATACATATAAAGATACACAGCATATCCCTCCAAACTGCCAATATCCCAAACCCCTCCTTTAAAGTGCAGGCATTGTACTTCCTATTTCTAGGACTCAAGTCCGACTATATGAAAATAACCGGTTTCCCTGAATCCCTTCACTAAATATTACCCTGCTCACACTCCAACAGATCGTCAGGTCCCAAGTATCATTCGTCTCCATTCACTCCTATCTAACACGCTCACGCACGCTTGCTGGAAGTCCAAGCCCCTCTCTCCAACCCTTTTGAGGACGACCCCTACCCCTCCTTCCTTTCCCTATAGATTTATATGCTTTCCATGTCATTCTACTTTGATCCATTCTCTCTAAATGACCAAACCACCTCAACAACCCCTCTTCTGCCCTCTGACTAATGCTTTTATTAACTCCACACCTCCTAATTTTCTGCATAATATTTACACCACACATTGCCCTTAGACAGGACATCTCCACTGCCTCCAACCATCTCCTCGCTGCTGTATTTACCACCCAAGCTTCACATCCATATAAGTGTGTTGGTACCACTATAGTTTCATACATTCCCTTCTTTGCCTCCATAGATAGCGTTTTTTGACTCCACATATACCTCAACGCACCACTCACCTTTTTTCCTTCATCAATTCTATGATTAACCTCTTCCTTCATAAATCCATCAGCCAACACGTCAACTCCCAAGTATCTGAAAACATTCACTTCTTCCATACATTTCATACATTTATTAAACAAAAATATCAACCACTCCAACACTATCTCCGCCCTGCTTTTAACATTTCTGTCATGATCCCATCAGTTCCAGCTGCTTCACCCCCTTTCATTCTATGTAATGCCTCATGCACCTCCCCCACACTCACATCCTGCTCTTCTTCACTCCTAAAAGATGTTATACCTCCCTGGCCAGTGCAAGAAATTACTACCTTCCTTTTATCGACATTTATAATATATATTATATTAATATTATATAATACATTCTTGCATACCTGATCACCTAGTTGAAGTTGTTTCCCTTGAAATATTTTCTTTGGGAGGCTATACACCAATCCCAGTGCAGCCTGCGATTCTGCTTTAATCTCCTCCACGTCAAAATGCCACTCCTTAAATGCCATTCTTATTTTTAGGAAGAGAAAGTCCCAAGGGGCTAGATCTGGGAAGTAGGGAGGGTGGGGAACAACTGCCACATTTCACCCAGGAGCCTAATGAAAATTAGAGTATGGAAACCTTTTTCATAGCACCTCTTATGCAATTTGTACACTGACCCACTACACAGGCAGAGTGGTGCAGAAATTAGTCATAGCAATTAAGAGAGACCGGCATGCAGGGTTTTGGAACAAATTTAACATTGCTGCACTCTCAACATGAATAAAGCACGAGATCATGTACTAAAATCAACAATAAAGGCTAGCTGGAGAAAAATATGGCCTAGGATAGCTAATGATTTTGCTGGATATTTATCAGTGGAAAATTAAGTTCAGAAAATTGTTCACCTAGCAAGGAGAGTACTATGTGAGGGATCTGAAGATATGCAGCCAAATGACATCAGTGAACTTTTTGGAAGATTAACCAACTGCAGAAGAAATGTTGCCAGAATTAAATTTCCAGCTACAGAGAACCATAAGACAATGAGGAAGAAGAACCCGAGTGTGAAAGTGCGATGCTGACACTGCAAGAGATACAAGAGTCGCTGCATACTGTTGGTAAAGTTGCAGATTTTACCAACAGTTGAAACATTGCTGTAAAGCTTGCTCTGGAACCGACACTAGGGCCTTATTGTCTGCCGTATAAAAAAAAAACTATGAGTACCTGAGCATTACACTGCAACAATAGCTGATGAAGCTGCATCACAACAGTCCCAACCTTTAACCTAAAACCTTATAAGCACCCTGACCTCAACTTGGTTAAGTAACAATGTCCAGTATTGTAATAATTTTTTTTTTAGCTAATATACTATTACTTTTAACTGTTTGAACCTCACTAGAGCTCAAATATTTAACAGAACATCAACACCAACAATGCTAGGTAAGAAAAAACCATTATACATATTTGACTATTAAAAAAGTTATTTCCTCTCACTTGGAGGTCTGGGGAATGCAACCCTATTTTTCCTGTGTGTCCTTAAGTCACAGAAATCATTAGCAGCACAGTTTTCAGGAACAAAGCCCATGCAAATTACAAATGTCCACTGTATAAGCACTAAACCTGTTGGGTTATGCAGTCTCTAGGATTGGGAGAAATCAGGTTCAATTCAAGTATCACCAATTTTACCTAGTGCAAGATAAATGGCTTTGTGGAGGAAAGCAAATGTAGTCTATTATGGAACGAAGAGCTGAGCAGTAGCCTGAAACTACAAGTATCACACATTCCAATCATCGATAAAAATTTTAAGCAAATGACAACATTAGATTAGCACTTGTCACCATGTGCTTAATATGAGGCCACTTACTAGCCAGATCCCAAAGAAGCTCTCCATTCTGACACCAAGCACTTTATGACTCTAAGAACAGTTAGTTATAATAGACTTTGCTTATGTATTTCACTAGGAATGGCTATTCTCCAGGTGTATTATATTTGGGGAAAGCTGTAAATCCATACAATGCATAGGGAAATGGAAGGCAATCAGGATCAGTTCAAGGAAGGGGAGGACTGGTTTAATTTCTTATATCAATAGCCTCTGGTATCAAGGAATCTCCATGAGGGGCCTCTTAACAGAGCCATGAACACCTTGAATTTGTGACCCCACTTCCAAAAACATCACATGACTAAATTCAAGGGTAATTTCATGTACTAGTTCTTAATGTAATAGAAAAAAAAAATTGGTACTACATTCAGAAGAAAGTGTGCTTACCTCATTCCATGACAGATAAAAGCAATATTAGCATTTTCTTATACAGCAAGACAACCATTTCATGGAGCAACATCAATCAGCTTGTAGCTTTATCTGCCTGGGGAAAACAATGGCAGGTTATGTGCTACTGAGAAAAAAGATGTCTTAGCAGTATAACAGTACTGTACTATTGGAGCTTGTGTGAAAACTGGAAAGGATTGGGGAGAAAGATTGCATTGATGGAGAGGAGGGGATTCAAGTGTCTTGCCGCAAATTTTTCAGTATAAAAGCGCTTTTTGTAGTGTAGCAATAAGGCTTAAAAAATTTGTTTTAACTAGATATATTTTATTCTATATAATGGGTTTTCAAAAACAGTCAAATACATTTATGAAATATAAATAAAACATAATATGGGGCTAATAAAGATCTTTTAAAGCAAGTATAGTTACACGAGAAATTGGAAAACTATCTGGAAACAATATGTACAATTTGGAAATATGACTAAAATCCAAATATTGAAGTTTTAATTGTTTAAAAAAAATACCAAAATGTACATCTCAAAAATGGCTAGATATTTATTTAGGGATTACATTAGTAAGGTATAAAGTTACCAAGTTAAACCTACTGCAGCATGGCATCTGTATGATCAGCCTACTTTATGGTTTCTCAAAAACAATATACACTCAGTTGGGATTATACTAGCATATTGGGGATAGTTTGACTAAAAAAAACTTTTTTTATGCTATTGCTGCACTTCTGAATAAAATAATAATAATAATAAAAAAAGAAAAAAGAAGAAAAAAATAAAAAAGTTTAAAATATCTAACCTTCAGGGTTATTTCCTCTTGCATGTCATACAGCAGAACCAACAAACTTATCATGAAAGACAAAAATCAAATAATTTTTCCCCTTAAAAATTAAACAAGTTTTCCCTTAAAACACACCATTTACTGCTCTAACAATTACAAATTAGATATATGAATTCCTCATTATTACATTTAATATAATGGTTCAAAGACTTTTGACAATGGAAAGCCCCCTTCCCCCCCCCCAAAGAAAATCTCAACCCACCCTTGAATCGCATGCAAGTTAACCGTTAACCATTTGGAAATCAAAAGCAACATCAATATACCTAAATATACTTTATTCCATACAAAACTTGAAAATTAATTTACATTCTGATAAATATCCACACCCAGGTTTGTTGAGATAGAAGTGATTGAGTTTTGTTTACAAATATAAAACTGTCTAAATGTAAAATATATAATGAAAATAATTTATGCTAAATGTTGTCACCTAATTTTTGCTTGCTCTGATGGCCTGTCTCTGTTGCTTATTGGCCACAGCCTGAAAGATGAAAAATAAAACAATTAGAATAATTTTATATCAACAGTGTATACTAATGATTGCAGAATCCCATGAAAATATTGTAGGGCTGTGTAATACTGAATATTTTATGACAGTTTAATATATTAAATAATACATTATAGTTTAATAATATATTAAATTTCAAATGTTAAAATGTGATGAAATTCTAGAATATCAGTCTTGGTTCTCTAGCATAAGAATACTCTGTATCCTGTCTAGTGAATACTAAATGATGGCTCCAAGATTTCGGCTTCTATAACTCTCTGACTAGGCAATCCAGAATGTTCTGACAAACACTGGTAATACTGTATAATGAAACACTTAAGGCATTCCTAATCCTAATAGATCAAGAACCACGATGAAAATGAAAAGCTATAGTGTACCAAGGTTAATGCAAAGTTAACCAGTTCTTTAGTTCTAAGAGTAGAAAAATTAAATCTACACAATTGACAGTATTTCTATTACTGTATTGTTAACCTTGCTCTGTTACGGTGCTTTTCATTGCAAAATGGGTTAATAAGAATCATGGCAAGATGTATGGAGGGAAAGGAATGCAAGGTTTGCAAATATGACTTGTGTATGAATACATGATTTCTAACTTATTAATACTTCTTTGAAAAAAATAATGAAACCTACCTGGAAACCAGACTTAATGGGAGCAACAGAACACCTGGAATTACACTGTTCACACTGAAGAAAATAGAGGCGTGCATCCTTCTGGAGGATCGTGTCTGGTGATCGGCATGTGTGGCATGTTACGTATTCTTTAATGTATCTGGGAAAAGACGTTATGCTTTGCTGAAATTTTAGAACAAAGTAATCCATGATAAAAGAGTATTCTATACAGAATTACCTCTTTATTCTCACAGTTAAAAAATTCCTAACAAACAGTGGTAAGTGTCACATTTTACTACTTACATTTCAGCTCACTTAAACAAATTGTAAACATTTTTATACTATTGCTTTTTATTATTAACACATCAGACGTTTCCCACCAAGGTACGGTGGCCCAAAATAGAAAAACTTTCATCATTCACTTCTTCACTGTCTTGACAGAGGTGCACTTACACTACAGTTATAAAACTGCAACATTAACACCCTTCTTTCAGAGTGCAGGCACTGTACTTCCCATCTCCAGGACTCAAGTCCAGCCTCCTGGTTTCCCTGAATCCCTTCATAAATGTTCCCTGCTCACACTCCAACAGCATGTAAAGTCCTAAAAACTATTTGTCTCCATTCGCTCCTGTCTAACACACTCACACATGCTTGCTGGAAGTCCAAGCCCCTCACACACAAAACCTCCTTTACCCCCTCCCTCCAACCTTTTATACCATATCTATATAAATATTTTGCCTTATAGCTCCAATTAAGAACCAAACTATTTACTTAAAAAAGTGGAACCCCCACTCATCCATCACAAGCTCCCTTTCAGTAACTAGTAAAATAACCAGAGACTTGGTTCACATTTATGAAGGTGACAGAAGACAAAATCTCCTGGAAATGGGAAGTACAATGCCTGCACTTTAAAGGAGAGGTTTGGGATACTGGCAGTTTGGAGGGACAGCTAAACTGTCGTAACTGAGCGCCTCTGCAAAGACAATGATCTGAGGTTGCTCCTTACCTCCTAAGTACATTTTCTATCTGTTTTTGCTGAAATCGTCCTTTGATGATCAACTGATTACTACCTGGAATAGAAAATACAAAATTATTTTATTACATGCCAAGAGAAAGGGGCTAGTGATCCATTCTCCTGTATAAGTTACTAAATTTAAAATAGAAAAAGCTTTTGTTTTTCTTTTTTTTATACAAAATTTATTCCAACTTATTTATGGAACAATATACAAATAACCCGTACCTAGGAGAGAAAAGCTACAACATTTTGGTCCGACTTGGACCATTTACAAGTCATACTAACATGAGAGTGAGCCAGTACATATAGGCAAAGGGGATGGAGATGGGACAAAGGAAGAAAGAATGCTGGTATTAGTAGTAGTGGTAGCAGAGAGTAGGGGGAGTAATTTTTGTGAAGGGAGGCAATAATAGTAGTGGTGGTGGTAAGAGTGGTAGTCATAATAGTAGTATATATATATATACTGGCTCCCTCACTCTCGTGTGATAGTTTGATTTGTAATGGTCCAAGTCAGACCAAAACATCGTAAGAGCTTCTCTCTCCTATGTGTGGGTTATATATGTACAGAGGTTTTCAAACTCCATTCAAAAGAAACTTGATGGGGTTCCATGTGTCATGTCACAGGAAACCAATGAGAGGGTGGGGTGGGTGGGGGAGGTCGTATGATAGAGTTATGTCAAGTGGCAGTTACGTTGCATACCACCTTACTACACTGACTTTTCCAAACATACTCGGGTTGTTTTTCAATCCCACTACATCCTTGATTCAGTTTACAGATCTAAGTGAAAAAATTTAATTAAAGTCTTGTTAGGGAAGAAAAACTTTTTATACTCACAAAAGACACAAATGTGAGGGAAAAAAGCAAGCTATTAAGGACTTTTGGAAACAATTTAACATCATGGATGCTATTTCACACATTATTAAATCCTATGATGAACTTGCAGTTGTCAACATGAACAGGCATGGAAATAACATGGAGAACATGTGTCAATGAATTTAATACAACACTTCAAAAAGATTTTTTGCCACCTAGCATTCAAGATGCCTATGAGGACAATGTGAGCGAGTTGGAAAAACCCTCAATTCATGAAGACAACACTTAAGATTAATTAAAAGTGAAGAATCACATTTAGCATAGCTTTTATTTTTATGGCATAAAATGTTTAGTATAACAATTAAATACAAGGAAATCAAAAGTAATCTTAGAATGTCTAAATAATGAACTCACCATCAATACTTCCTGATGTACCCAATTCAGCAAGGAGAAACTGCAATACATGTTTGGGCATTCTGTGAAGGAGCCGACATATTTCTGCAAAGTTGGCAAAAGCTGTTTTCTTTGACCCAATCCTCACAACCTACAAATATTAAATGATCTTAACAAAATGAATAACCAGTATCAGTCTTCAATTACTATTATGTATAGATCTAGAAAAATTTGTATACTCGAAACAACTCGTACAGCCAGGGATGAAGAACCTGCAGGATACACATGGCTCTCGAGTGGCACAGTTACAGCTCCTCGAAGTCTTACATAAAACTCAAACTACCACTAACCTGTGACAGTGAATACCTTCCACTGACTTGACTCAGTTTATAAATTGTACACAACAGCTTATTTTTCAGTCATTAATATTTGGTGTCTGAAAAGGTTGTGCGTCCCTGCTTTAGGCAATGGTGATAAAAACAATCCTCTATTGCATAAGAATAAAAATAATAGGACTAAATGAAATGAGTTTTGAAATAAGGTACAGAACTAAGCTATCGATTATAGAATTCTTTGGAAATTTCATTACAATGTAAACTGGTCAACATCAAAATAGTCTTCAGAAATATGAACAGAAAAATACCATTGTGTATTTGTGCATGCCTTAAAAACGAGTAGATAAGACTAAATTATTTGTTTTAATCATGTGAAAGCACTAAACCACAGGGTCATATAGCACCTGGGAAATGGTAGGCATTCAGGTTCAAACCTGGGAAGGGAAGGGTAAGTCCAGTTCCTTGAATCAAGAGCCCCCTTACTGGCATCAAGACATCTTTAGTGAGGGCAGATAAAATTGAAAAACTTCAGACAAGAAACAAAATTGCTAGGTTATTTATTAGAGGATGGAGTGTAATAGGATGAATAAGAGGGTATGTAAATAGAGGGTAGAGGGAAGGAGAGGTGGAGGTTCATCCCAAGAAAGGCTGAGGACTTTGAGTACTCAGGGTTTGAGCATCCAGCAGACTTGTGTGTGTTAGACTGGAGTGAGTGGAGAAATGTGGGCTTTGTGACTTTACATAAAGCTGGAGTGTGAACAAGGTAATATTTATAAAGGGAGTCAGAGAAACTGGTCAGCAGGGGTGGGAAATATAATGCATGCGCTCTAAAGAAAGAATGAGGAAGTTGCTGTTTGGTGGACCACCTAAACTGTGATAACAGCACTTTTATGGTATTATCGATTCCAATAATGACAGTGAATGTTTCCTTTTTTTTTTCAGGTAAGAAATACATTAAAAGCCTTAAAATGTTAAAAATGCACTTGTTGGTTAAAGAGAGAAAAAGGGAAAATGTGATAACCACATAAAATCATCATAAAGGGATAAAAGAAAAGAGATGAACATTTAATAGCACCATCAATCAGGAAAACAAAAAGCCACAATATACAGTAGTACCTCGGTACTCAATCTGTTCAAGTGCCAATCTGTTTGAGTACTGAACGAATTTTTCCCATAAGGGAATAATGTAAATTAAGAGTAATCCATTTCAGACCCCCAAAAGATACACTTACAAAAGTATTTTTAAAACGAAGTTTTTTAAGCCAGCTTCTTCTCCTCTAGTGTATAGTTCTGTTTGGGGCTTTTTTTTTTCCCAAAAAAAACCTGTTCATTACAACTGAACACTTGTTGGGGGAAAAAAACCCTCAGCCCCTTACTCACAAACCACTGACGATTTCTCGCAGTACGTATCTTTGTCAGGATAGCAGCTTCCCCATCCTTACACCAAAGTTGTCACTTCTCTTTGGTCTTTGTTTTGTAACCACTTTCCCCCCTTTTTCAACAATACCTTTTTAAATGGGCCTCTTTTTATTTTTGAGCACGTAAAAAACTAGATTTTCCCCTACAAAAAAATCGGGACAAAATCAAAAACCCCCGGCACCTTTTTTTATTTCGCTATGGTTCTTTTTTTATCTCTATATGACGAACCAATTTTCTTTTTGGTTGGCTGTTATTACTAATCTTCTTAGGCCCCATGGTGACTTATTTATACAAATATAAAAACACCAAAAAATGCCAAGAAATACATCATGTTTGTTTGGTTGAGTGCTGAGCAAACAGTTGACTACCGAGCAATTTTTTTTTACCGAATAAAGCGTTCGAATACTGAATTATTCGAGTACCGAGGTACTACTGTACTAAGAATAAATCCCTGACAGAAAAATACTATAAAGCTATCCTACAAATTACAGTAAACACAACTGAAAAAAAAAATTACAAACAAAACTGAAAAGATTACATCACAGACTAAGCACTTAATGACAGGACACTCAAGAACCATCTCTACTTTTGTAGCTACACATGAAGAAATATTTAAATATGATATACCTGTGGTGGTTTCATGACAAACTTTTTCTTTTCACCTGTAGCCATCTCTGGATTTTTTTCTCGGAGTTGATTAAATGCACGTTCCAATAATTCATCATACGTGTAATCACGTTCACTACCTAACCATCCATCCCCAGTCTCTGAAAGATAAAGAAATCCAGTTAAGACAACAAAATTGCCAAAACTAAAAGGGAAGTCTCACAAGTTTGTAAAAGTGCTTTAAATACTAAATACCTAATAGTTTTTTCTAGTGACTACTGGGAGGGGGGGAGGGGAAATCTTCCATTGTTCATTCTTAGCAACCTCTTCTCCTAAGCACACTTAAAGCCTGCCAATAACACAAAATTGATGAATGCACAATGCTGCTATTGTGTGCCATTTTGGCCACAAGAAAAGCTTACCATGTACGCAGTTATACCATGCTATTTCCTGCATTTCGAAAGAGTTCTTACAAGGGAAACAAAGACCTCAAGCAAAATCTTGGACGAGGAACCAATATCAATGGCTGCATACATACACACCCACGAACATTCGAGGTCAGTCACTGATGAATTAACACTTACCACGTATTTCTTCACACACAAGAGACTCCTCTGAGAGCATGTATAAGATAAAATACCATTATTAGCTGTCATGAAATCTGCAAAAATAATCCTAAACCAAGTTATGAAATTAATAAAAGTATAAAACATGTTTCAAGACTGGATAAATTCTAATCAATCTCTGGAATCAATGAACATTAGATAAATGAAAAAATACTGCATATATGTACATTATTCTTAGATTGTGCACTACAGCAGTACTGTATTTATAATTAATCTGGTTTTATCACTGTTTTTATATGCTAGCATGCTTTATCAAAGCACTCCTTTTGATCTACACAAAAAAAACACCTCGTGAAATTCTACAGAATTCTATATGAAAATATTATTTTACAGCATTTTCTTCCTATGTTTTAGAACCCATGCACAGGCTTGAGGAAACCTCATTGTTTTGTGGCAGCCTCTTTATTAATTTTTTTATTTTAAGTTCTGAAGAATAAGTTGCAATATAAACTTTTCTTTGAATTAAGTAGCTTATTGATGCACCAAATAAACGTTCAAAATGCCTATAAACATCCTTTAGACAGCTCTTCTTCCATGCTTAAAGCAAAAAAGATTATCAAAATAAAAATATTGGAAATACAGAAATAAACTGTACACTACAACTGTAATTTAATATATAGCAAAAGACAAAAATAATAAGAGGTACAACATGAGGTGCAAAGTTTCAGAAAATCTAGGGCAATAGTTCATGAATCTGGAGGAACATTCTTATTCTTTTCCTTGTACAGAGCTACAAAAGTAGACCTAAGCTCACAGTGTGTGTGACAGCCTTGCGAAGTATGTGGGGATTGAACTCGGTCTACTGGAACCACCACCTTTCAACTGACCAACATGATCTGGTTATGTTATAATGGCTTCTGCTGTATCTCCTCCTAGTGTTCTACTTTGCCACTCAGTTTGAGTCACAGGATCACAGGAGCAGAGCTGTTTGTGTTCCAACTTCTATGATTATTCATATTATGTACATTTTCCAAGGTTCCTGTAGTTTTAAGACATACTATCTTCTCTTTTAAGTACACAGCAATGGTTCTACCATTACCCTCACCCTTTTTTTAGCCAATTCGGAAAGGCACACTATGACTCATGAAATCGTAATGACACGATTGCAAACAAACCATACCACAGGCGGGATTGAACCCGCGGTCAGAGAGTCTCAAAACTCCAGACCGTCGCGTTAGCCACTTTAGATTGTGGCTAGCTGGTCCAGTGGCTAACGCGACGGTCTGGAGTTTTGAGACTCTCTGACCGCGGGTTCAATCCCGCCCGTGGTATGGTTTTTTTTATGCATGATATTTTTTCATCAAAACTTTTGAAGCTCTAGTAACTGCTGAACCCTTAGTGGACTGCTTAAAGATAGCCCTAATGAAGTCTCCCAGCCTAGGTTGATTGATTTCATCACATGATATAAGAAAAACCATTATGTGCAATAGAATATAATAGGGAAAATGACTAGTTCTTGTTCTCACTAACTGTATGTAACTATCAAATATGAATCCAATTTTGTCTAATAAAAACTACCTCTTTTTCCACTTGTATTCAAATAAAGTTTTCTAGTGTTTTCGGTTTCTCTTCATAATTTACATTTCTTTTCTGGCATCTACTATGGCATGCCAGAGCTCTGAATTTTCTTGGCAACTACAAGTCTCTTACTAAAATTATTTTGCAATTCATATCCAACACTGCCAAAAAATTTTTTGTTGTACATCTATCACCTATATACACAAAAGCTATCCTTCTCTTTACCAGTGTTTTTAATACTGTATAAAAAATCTCTCTTCAGTATGTGTTCAATTTTCCATAACTTTAGAATCAATTTATACTAAATTTCATCATACATTTAAGGGACCATTTTCTCAACCCATATAAACCCCTTCCAATCATCAAAATCAGATATCCAAAATAAAATACCAGACATAAGAGGTACACAAACCCTGATAAAGAGAGGAGAGAGAAGCAGGAAAGGGGAAGGGGAAGAAAGAGCATAGAAAGTGAGAAGAGGAGGAAAGACAGAGATAAATAGGGAAGGGGGAGATAGGAGTGTGATGGGGAAAAGGAGCACAAGAGACTTAAGAAAATGCATGGAAAAAATAAGGAGTATGAGAGGTAAGAGCACAAGTGGGAGGGGAAAAGAGGAAGTGATTGTGATGACAAAGAACAGTGAGTACAGTAAACCCTCAATTTAATGGACTTTAGAAATATGCAACTGAACCTGACTTTGAAGCAATGGACAAAATCAGTTGATTACAAAATTATCCACTATTATGAGCAGGGCAAAATCTAGTCTCTCCTCATCCCAGTCACCATTACTGGCCACCCTGTGACCCCCCCAATTACTCCATTAAATTGAAGGTGTACTGTATGAATGCTGAGGCCAATGATGATCGCTGCTCCTTATTAATCCCTTCATCTTACTCCAGCTGCCACACACAGTAGAAAATATTTCAAGATCCATGAAACACACTCGCGTGGTATTTAGTGTAAACACGTGAATGAAGGAACTTAATTAGAATACTCAACATATTCACTTTGAGATCAGATATCTCTAGAACCATAATTTCTTAAATTACACCCACTTGCTGTAAACAATATCCAATTATCTTAATGAACACATTACTCTTAATTCATCTTAACCTTAATCACTCAAATTTACTTTTTCTTTTTTTTTTTTTTTTTTTTACACATCTTATATATACTTTCACTCCCTTAAGTAGTTATAACTTTCTCCAAAATATTATTCTTTCATACTTTGTGATTAAACCACATTTAAGACAATGTCATTTAGTAAGATATATGGGTGGGTGTCCACAAAACTAGGAAAGACAACCTGATATTAATTAAGTTATATGAGGAAGTGTCCTATGCTGATTCTTCTAAAATGTACAACTGTAATAAAAAAAATATTTAGCATAAAATATACCAGAGATTTTCAAAGAAATGAAGCCTATACTAAAGAGCAATCATGGAATGCTAGTGTGACACTGTAAAATGACTAGCAAAAAGCTGGCACGAGACTAAGAGTGAAAATGCATTTAATATAAAAGCTGACAAAAAATTACACTGAAAAGTTAATATTCTAGAATGCTGAGAACCAACAGATGATGTTATTAAGTGAAAATTAATGTCAGAAATCTCCCAACTTACAAATGAGTTGAGTTTCTGTCTTCCAATTTGTGAGTTTGTATTAAAAATACAAAAGATAATCGTTTCCCAAGTATTTGTACTGCAACTCAGAAGTTGTAAAATTAATAGTTCCCAATTGCCCTGTTCGTAACAATGGATGTGCATAATTTGGTGCATTTGTATGTTGGGAACCTCCATATAGTAGTAGTAGAATCATATTCTTAGATTACAGGAACAGAATTCCTTGGGTATACTCTTAAGAAATAGCAAATGGTGAATGAACTGATTTAGAGGAGCAGTGTAAATTTATGTGAATGAAATATATATATGAAGCTGAAGTGGAAATATATTTACAAGGTCTTAACTTGCAATGCAAGATATTCCATTCACTAAAATTGACTTTGAAGCATATGTAATGAAATGCTGATAAAAACATTTACCGTATATGACATTTATGAACACACAATATAAACAGTGCCAGTGCTCTTATTCATGACAAAGAGTATTGAATTTAGCTGGCCCAGGCTTTTAGCCAGCCAGTCATCATCTCTCATTAGATCATAATAATGTAATAAAATGAAAAATAAAGAAGTATAAATTTTAATACTATATTCAAAAATGGAAGAGAAATACATTCTAAAAAAACTTAAATATATATGCCCACAAATTCGAATAATTATGAATCAGTTGTTTTTAAGCTGCAGTTACTAATGCTGTTATGAAGACGTACACATGAAGTGATATAAATAAAAAGGCAGGCATTTGTAATCTCCTGGCTAAAAGCCTAAGCTGGATTGGTAGCAAAAGTTAATATTAACCTCATTCCATGCAATGCCACAACACACTCATTGGGAGAAAGCATTAAACAATATTAAAGAGCTATGAAAAGTTCAAAGTTTTAATAACCTGTATGTACGGCAGTTTCTGTTGATCTATGATCATCGTATCCCATTTTAAATTAATTTGCTATATGTATTTCAATAACTCCCAGGAGATGAAGCATACATTACTATCGAGTGTCTTCTACTCATTTACCACTACTTGAACTGTTTGTGTTTCAGTCACTGCACAATATGAAAAGGGCACCCATGTATCCCATAAGCCTAGCCTTCTCTAACTCAATAGACACACAAGGGATAGTAAACAGTGTGGCATAGTTTCTGAGGTGGTTAAATGTCACAACTAAAGACTTGAAGTCAACCAGACAAGGTAATCGCAGGTTACTGCATGGAATACACTGGTAATATCCAACAGTCTTAAATGAAAATGGCAAACTGGAACCTACACAGCACAATACTAATTCAAAACTTCCACTACAAAACACTACCTTAGAAAACTCAGAGCCAACCAAAAGATGTATTTTCTATTTATTGCACAGAGGTCAATATCCCAAATACAGTTTGAAGCTGCTTGGTGATATTATAAAGTTACTGGTAATGATGATGCATTCTCACTTTGTATGAAAAACCAATTATTTAAAATTTTCTAAATTCTTTAATAAAATGGGCAAATTGGCACCTATGGAACCAAAAATCAACCCAAACCTATCCCCAAGTAAGATACACCAGTATTTAAAGACCAAGTTATGGCATGGAAAAAATTTAGTAAAATAGGCAAATTGAAACTTACACAACCAAAATCAATGTGAAGCTTCCCTTGAGGAAAACACCAGTGTTAGAAGTTTGAAACTGATCCGAAGATGCATTCTCCAGTTATCTCACGACCCATGAATTTCAAGTTATCAACAATGTTAGTCAACTAGGATAGTTGCTCCTACACAGCCTAAATCCAAAGTTTTTTCTTTTTTCATAATATACACAAGTCGTTCAACACTGTCGCTGTTTGTGAGATGCAAATTATGGCTTAAA